TAGTCAATAAATAAACCATGTGACTATACTGTTATCAGTTTGATAAATATAACCGCTGTGGAAAAAGCTGTAGGTAAAAACGAGTATTACTAAAGGAAACGGGAACGACCACGACGTGGCGCAAGACACGGAAAAGAGCCGAAGCCGGTGCCGATGCACGAAACGGTTCAACAAACGAGAGGACAAAAAAATGTCTGCCGGGCGAACTCCAAAAAAAGGCGAGCCTAAACGGAGGATTTGTTCAAAGTGTCCGGCGAACAAAACGGCGTCTAGCTAGACACAAAAGAGCTGTGAACTCAGGACAAAAGCTCACCTTGGCGTATTACACAGGCGTAATAAAGGCGAGAGGGGAGGGAGCCAAGACTGCAGCGACGTTTAAAAGCCACTGTGGAATTAATAGCCAATGATCTGCAGTAGCTGACAGAGGTTACTTCTGCCCTGCGGTCAGAATTCTAGCCCTGGATCAAAAGAAGTGTTTATGTAAAAAGATGATACCTACCTATAAATTATAAAATATATGGCTATATTTCCGTAATATTGTGTACCTACATTTAGTATTTATACTAATAAACGTTATTATTGTTATGTAATTTATTTGGTTTTATTTGATATTATTGAATTTTTAAGCTTTTGATCAATGACCAAAAAAATGTAACAACAAGTTACATCGAAAAAATCAAAAACCCTGCGATTTTACGAGAAAAACGATGTGTAATAAAGCTCTCCGTGGATTTGAATTTCTCCAATTTGCTTAGTAATTTTATATTTTTCTTTAGAATGTTCTATATTAGAGTATAGTTTTTCCATTTAGAATTCTTGTCAATCTTGCTGTGAGTGGCGCTCATTCAGATTGTATTGTTATGAGTATTATGTTTATTCTATAATAATATTAGCTAACTAGCTAACAAAATATATATTATGCTGTATATTATACATATATGTTATTGCACAGAGCCCACTATAGGGCATGATATATTATCAATAGAAATAAAGTATTTGTAACGTGTTCAATACAAGTACCTATACTAGATAATAATATATAATATGACAATTTATTGGATATTAAATATTAATTTTAATGTAAGACACTAATTATTTCATAAGCTTTGAACGTTTTTTACACCATTTTAAGTCACTAAAAACAACAATTTCTTAAAAATTAAAATATGTATAAGTGTTAGGAACCAGGTACTAGGTAATAAATTACTTGTCCAAAATTGGATTTTTATAGATCAAATACTCATAATAATTCAAATAATATTAATAATAGATATTTCTTTTGTTTTTCACGGTGCTTTTGAAAACTACTGGGAAATTTTTACTTTTGACCTCCCAAAGTACCAACCAGATTGATTCAATTTCCTGTCAGAAAAGATACTGTTGAAGAAAATCCAAGCATTTTTATTGTCCTAAGTAGGTAATAGGTTTATGGATACATATTGATATGGTATAAAAATATGATGTGCTAATGTATTATTAATGTCGTTCTTATAGACGTCCGAACCAAAAAATAAAATTGATAATAGAAACGTTTGTTTGTCCATTGTGTAATATTATCGTTTCCTGTATTAAATGTAAAAAAAAATCGCTCTTCTGTACAGTAGTATACAAGTTGATCGCTGTAATGGATGGTGTTAAATTTGAATCCAATGATAGAATATCATTGTATAAGATAAACGATTCTGAGCGAAAACGGTCAGTCAGCCTATAATATTACTAAGTATATTTGATGATATTATTGTGAACATAGGAGTGTTTATACGAGAGTGGCCGGGTGGGTACTGCCCCCCCCCCCCCGACAGACTGTGCCTCAAACAAAATCATGCCAGGATAAAAAAAAAGTCGTGTGGTGTGTACCCTGCAGTACCTATAGATATTTTGATTAATTATATTTTTTTTAGTTACGCATTTATTAATTAGTGATTATATTATCAAATAATTTATTTTTTATTTTTTATTGAAATAAATCTACAATCTATACATTAATTTGTGTACGATAAGTAGGTTTGGTAAGTGAATAATAAAAGGTTAACATGAATCATGCGATTAGTTAGGATACCCAGTGGTAATACCCTATAATATTATACCTAACAGGTATAATAATCGTATAATATGGGGGACGGAATGGCCGAGCGGTCTATTTTTTTTTTATATTTATATAAAAAAAAACCTTTTAAAATAAGTTTGTGTTTAATTAGGTTTTTTCGTTAGTTAAATTGTTCTATTCGTTGAACTCAACAATTATAATTGAATTGATTTCAATATGATATAAATGTGTTTCATAAAGTACCTCAATCGTATAATATAAAATAATACACACAGTGGTGCTCACGGGGTATTCATGGTAGGCACTTGACTACTCTGCGAACTTTCCCCCCTCAATATTCATTATTATTATCATGATAATTGATAGTCAATCATAAAATACTTTTTTACTATCGTAAATGTAGTTAAACGAGGTTACCTCATCTAAATTAATTTAATAATTTAGATGTGGATATGAATATATATACGTAATATGTGTGTGTGTTAATGTGTTATATACTTTTATGTATGACTACCCTGCCAGAAATTCTGCGAAATCCTTATAAAATACATCCAAACGTTCGTAATTATCCATCTAATGGAATTTTGGTACTTTGGGGAGTCAAAAGTATAATTTTTTTTAGTAGTTTTCAAAAGTGCCGTGAAAAACAAAAGAAAAATTAAAATAGAACGGGAATTTTTACACACAATCGGTTTTCCAAAAAATCGATTTTGGTTTTTGGTGTAACTTTAAAACAAATGAACGTATATAGATGAAATTTTTACTGGTTGTTTAAATTTACATTTTCTATACACGGTAAAATTTTCAAAATATTATGATTTGATTTAAACTGTTAAGGAACATTTTCATTTTCCATATTTTTTTAGTTTTTTTTCTAAAAATATCAATAAAATTGTATTTGTTGGTTAAAAAAACTTGAAAATTAAATAGAGGGCTATTAGTATATTGTTTCAAAGGCAAATGAAAAATATTAAAAATCCTTAGTCACAATTTTTTTTTATAAGCATTTAAAATTCAAAAATTGACAAAATATGGAAAAATCACGAAAATTAGCAAATTATTTTGAGTTAAGAATTCGTAAAAATTTTTCTTTTTAAATCTAAGATTTGAAAATGTAATACAAGATTCCTTATAAGATTATCTACCTTTATCAAAAAAAAAATGTCTATAAGAAAGTCAAATTAAATTTTTATGAGCGTTCGAAATTCGTAATATTTAAGTATAAACGAACAATTTCAAAATGTTTTAACTTAATGGATTTTTTTAAATCAACTGAGAAAAGCTAAGTTATTTCAATTGTAAATTAAACTGCATATTTAAGTTCATAAGATGATTAGAAAATAAACTAACTAGTTAAGTTAAAAAGTTAAAAAAAAATTAACTTTTTAACTAAACTTTAACTTTTCAACAAGTTAATGCCCACCTTTGAGTATAATAATGAATAATATAAACAATTTTTAATTTTAATAGAAACATTATTTTTTCTTTTTTGAAGTTTACTCAATTATTGTTTTATAATATACAATAAAATATATCATCCCGAAATTCTTTTTTTGCACTGCACAAAGGAGACATTTTTACTGCACAATTATACTTTTCTCACTGCACACTAAAAAAACCCTGCAGAGAAATAATCGAAAAGGTACAAATTAATCCAGATCCAGAATGTATACTTGAACAGTACAACATTTAGATAAGAACTATGATCGATATAATTGAAAAAGTCAGACCGGGACTTCAATCAAATAGTAGTAAACACAAAACTAAAATAAACCATTATCCTACCGCATTAGAAAAAATCAAAAAACAATAATGAATAGTAAAAATATATTTAAAACATTCTCAACAAACAACTCAAATATAAACATCCTCCAATCAATCACCTGTGGATCCGAAATCTCCATCAAACATCTTTTATTAGAATTTCGCCAATTTAATGAACAAAGGATTAAATACAACATTCCAAGTATCTCCGACAATGAACATATATATCAACAATACACTTAGTTTTATAAGAGACATCAATTTACACAAAACCATTTAACCAAAAATCCAAATAATTTTAATTTATTTAATAATTGTAATAATTTTTTTTTTTGTAAGTACTTCGTTTCTTTCTTTATTAATTCATGTTGTTATTTACTATATATTTATAATTATTTACCTATAATGTATTAATCACTATGTAATCTTCAATTGTGACCAATAACCTATGTAGTCGACGTCTTGAATTTTATAATAAAAAATAAAAAAATAAAAAAATAATGTAATAGAATGTTTATCAACCATTTCTGTAAACATCATGTCTTAAATATTGTCTGTAATTCAATTAATTCAATCTTTAATTAAATACATCTTGAGTCATGTTTCATGTAGGACATTAAACCTGTCTGACTTAAGTGACTTATTGTTGAAAATATTTGGATACGATTTCTAAAGAAAAAATATTTATTAATTATTTTTAAGAAAGATTGTGACTGCTAGGACATATTGCTCATGTTACCGAGAGTCACGTGGCCGCCCGGAGCATTTTCGCACGGTCGCCAACCACGGACCGAGGCCCAAAAGTCGGAGTGCCGTGGATTTTTTTAATAATAATATATATATATAAAGATATCAGTCCAAAATAAGAACCGGATACATTCGGACCAGTAATATACGGTGGGTGACCAGCGGTGAAACAATAAAAAAAACCTCAATTTGGGGAAAAATTATATATTGATTTATTCTAATAATTAATTTAGTTTGATGCCGAGAAAGCCGACTGGCATAAAACTCGGTCAGAATAAATAGAGTAATAATTTTTCACATAATTTTTTTTTATAATAATTAATAACAACAACAATGATAATAATAAACAGTTTCCGAATATAATACACCACCCCCTATATTATAACAAACATATTATACAAAAAGAAATGCCGGCCACGGTGAAATAATATTATATTATAAAATGGTTGCGGTTAACAACGAAAACATTACCGTAATACGCATGATGTTTTCATGTGCCGACCAGCAAAAACGGAGTCTACTCGTCGGTCATAATGTTGCTGGGAAGGGAAAAAATGGAGTGTCGGTCGTGGACCGGTCGGCCGATACCAAGCTTTGGTGGTTGGCACGAACAGGCGAACGCGACAGAGGGGTCACCTGCGCTTTTGGATTTATTAGAGTGGCCGATACTTCGGGTGATATGGTAGTTAGGTATGGTTTTCGTCGGTGTGAGTAGACCTTTGCAGTTACACCTAAACCACGGGTACAATTAGGGAAGCGTATGTGTGACTGCAGTACAGGTGATGCGGTGTTAGATCGGCGGAGACTGAGACACGCTGGATAAGTGGTCTTATCGCACACCGCGCTCGCAATGTACCTGTGATACCTATATTATAATATTATAATCATGTGTGTCTTTTTTTCTTTTGCGTTGGACGTCACAAGATATATTACAAATTTAACATAAATTAAATATAAGTAATAAGTATACCATGTGTATTAATAATCGATTATATGATATAGGTAATACGTTTTTAATAATAATTTCTAACAATAACATTTTAATTGAATATTTTTAAAACTATCACTATACAATAACTATATTAGATTACATACTAATATACACTATAGACTTTAATTTATATTTTATCTATACGAAAATAATTTAAATGGATATTATAAATGTACCTTACATTTTCAATTTATGTAAAGAAATATTTACAATAATGTTTTAGTTATTATTAAGAATTTGTCATCGATGTACGTCCGTTGTTCAATATATACTTGGTTATTGGTTAACTAGGTAAGTAAAAATGTTATCATATATAGTTAAAATTAATATTTATTTTATATTAATTAATATTTTAAATTATAAAACATTGTCTCCATTGTTAATTCTTTAAAGTGACTATTTATAGCAATTTTAAGTTGCTTTGTAAAATACTTTAGTTAAATACCTAACTTAAGACCCATTTAGGCTTCAACTACACATTAGCTATTTGTTTAAATTCATATAACTTACAATTCTATATACATGTTATGATTAATATATTGTAGGTAAGTAAATCGATAAAGATGTTTTTTTTTGGTTTTTTTATTTGCTTCTAGTGCAGGGATGGCCAACCCGCGGCCCGCCTTGGAAAATTTTGCAACCCGTGACATTTATCAAATATTTTCCAAAAAAAAAAATTATTTTCGATTTTAATCCATTTTTTTGTATTGGGGCAAAATACTTTAATAATTTTATATGACGTGGACTAATTTTGAATAGTATTTTTTACTGGCTGATGACCTTTTTTTTTTTTTTTTGGCAACCCTATATGTGGCCCGCAGGATTGTAATGTATTTACAAAGTGGCCCGCAAGATCATTTGGGTTGGCCATCCCTGTAATCTAGTGTAAACAATCATAGCTCAACAATTATACATGATATACATTTCAAAATAATAATAGTGAAACATAATAATAAGATAGTAATATAAAAGTGGTGTAAAAATAAACATGGATCGAGGCCCCATTAACATGTGACAGATTACAGATAACATATTCAGTGATTGTAATAATTTACTTAATGAGGTAAGAATGATTTTCGGACTATGGAATAAGTTGTTTGTATATAGAACAGCTGTAAGGAGTGTAATGAGAAAAATAATTAATGCGGAATGTTCTGAAATAAATTTAGTAAACGGCCTATCGTTAGTGTGGCTATTAGGTAATAGGATATTATTGGAATCGGCGACGGTAGCTTTGGGAGGGTGAGGGGGAGTTTTGAGATGAAGAAATGTGAGGAATTTTGTATTTTAAAATAGTAGTTTTGTGAAGTTTGAGAATAGCTTTAAATTTTGCACGTCCTTTGTAGTTGGAACTTGGAAGTATGATTGCCCTTGCAAAGGGCGTACTTGGGTAGACTGTTTTGTCTTTAGTGAAAATGTCTGAGGAGTGGTCAACCCCCACATTTAAAAAAACGTGGAGGATGATGGCAATAGTTTGTGGCTCTGACAGTTTTGACACTGAGGTGGACCACTCTTGGTCCTATAGGGTAATTAGACTTCGATTTTTGTGTTGACTTTGTTTAGAATTTCTTTATTGTTGATACTGAGATTTAGTACACGAGAAACATTGGGCATGGGTGGCCATTTTTGATGACGTTTGTGACTCGTCTGGTGGAGTGACCTAACTCCGAGGACCAAGAGTGCGTCAGACATATCAGAGACGTGTGTATTGAGTGGTGCAGATTTCTGATTATGACCTTGTAAGGTCGATGTATTGGTGGCATGGAAGTGTGAAAACAGATACTGGTGGTCATTATGTCGCGTGATTAAATTAAACATTAATTTTTGGCATCCATGAGGTCGAACAATCAGAAAAGAAGACGTAGACTTACAAGTGAACCCGTTAGGGGTGGTGATTTGTACTAACGCATTTTTAAAAACGGAGAAGTTGATAATGTTTTGAACATAGATTCTTAATGTTGTCCTGTTGATGGTGTATTCGTATGTAGATTCGTCGATTATATTAGAAGCATCACAAGAAATGTCGAGTTTGATTTGTTGTCCTCTTCGTTCGCCAGGACATCGAATTTATTTGGTGAAACAAATTACTTGGTTTGTTTTCACCCCATTTTGATAAATGAATTAGGAGATGATGTTAGTGACCGTTTGGGTTTGGATATTTTTGGAAAGGTGGTGTTATCCATATTGGTAGTGGAAACGCGTTCAACAGAATGAAACTGGTAAACTATTTACGTAACTAAAACTCGGGATAATGGAGTGGACAATTGCACGTACGTCGCGACATACGTGCGATCGTGTGGCAGATCATCACCGAACTAGGTATCATCAACCGATATAGGTGTTAAAAGTAGGTACCTATAACAATTTAATTTTTAATATCAAAACAACTAAGCAACTTGTTAGGTATGTAGTTTTGAAATGTTTCGTATACTAATAATTGTACGTATAGGTTACGTAACGTAGACCATAATTATAAATAGGTGATTCACTTAACATGAAGTTTAGTACCCCCTCCCCCAATATATTTTATCATTTAGAAATACATTTATTCTAATTCTCAATTTTTTAATTTTTTAATATTCTTAAAGACCATATTTTCAAATGATTACATTTGTTTCACTGCTTATAAGTGTGGTGTGGAAATACAAACTTTTGCATATCAAAAGACAATCCTCCTATTTTACTGTAAATTATTTAGTGGATAGTTTTTTTTTTTTTTTTTAATTTGGATGTAGGTACCTATTTAATTCAAAATTCAAACTAGTAGTTTTTATTTATTAAAATGTTTATACTAAGGCTAAAAATCGTTAAAAATGGTTTTACAAAAATATAAATTAGATTCAATATTAGATTTAGTGTGTATTATCATTTGATCCATTTTACAAATTATAAATATAGATAGATTATATTAATTACTAAAATATTCAAATCACCATAGTGGCATAGCCCTCATATCTTCCAATCCCATTATTATAATATTATGGACATGATAATTAAGTAGGTACACAAAGTTATTTAACTCAAAAACCACTCGTTCGAATTTTTATTTTGACACCTACGTAAACATTTTCAGAACAATTATACATTTATACTCAAAATAATTTACAGTTGAAAAGAGTGGTTCTCATTTGAAAAGTAGCTCTAAGTTTATATCTTCATATGTCACCCCTAAGTAGGTATTAAAATATCTCATTTACTTAAAAATATGGCAGATGGGTATATTTAAAAATTCCAAAAATCTGTTTTTGAATACCAACTTAGTTATTGAAGAAAAAAGGCTAGATCATGCACGGCGATATATCCTGTATAAGAGAAAATAATTGAAATGTAATACAATTTACTTAGTTTCATGTTCATTAGGCTTGGAACCCAAAATAAATCATACACCCCCCTCCCCCAAAGTGTTACCAAAATAAATATTTCCTTGTATCGCAAAAAAACAAAGCTATTGACTCTTCAAACATTTGCAGGTATTATTATTTTAGTGTAAAAATCCATCAAGCAAACGGCGTTTATAAATAAAATACCGTCTATTATAAACATCATGTCTGTCTGTACGATGTTATTAATTATTGCTGCAATTACTGTTTCGTGGTCCGGTACGCCAATCGCAGCTATGAACATTCTAGCTATAGAGCCGCTTACGGGTAAAAGTCATTGGAATTTCATGAGCGCACTTCTCCGAGCTTTGACAGACAGTGGCCATCGCGTTACCGCGTTCACTCCACTTCCCGATGGAGAGCGAATCAACTATACGGAAATTGATATATCGAAGGAAATGTCCTCGATGGATGTCGGCATTGACTCGCATTTCGTTCTGGAAAATTTTCGAAAATCTTCACTAATGATACCTTTGGTAATGAACTGGACCCGTTGCATCTGCGATATCATCAATGAACATCCCAAGATGAAAGATATACTTAATAGCGAAAAGTCTGGTTACGATTTAATTATCGTCGAACGAGCCGCATCGGAATGTGTCACTTACGTAGCCGCCAAATTGGACGTACCGATCATATTCTCGTCCCCATCGCCGTTGAAGACGACTATTGAATATAGTTTAATAGGAAACGGTCCGAATCCAGCGACCGTGTCTCATGTAATGGCCTATCACTCGGTTCCGAGAACGTTTTACCAGCGGTTCACGAATTCTCTATTTTTCGTATATAGCACATTTTTAAGTACACGAAAAGAGTTTGAAATTAAGACAAACAATCCCGGTGAGTACGATCTAATGGAACCAGTAAAGCCGTCCATCGTGTTCCTTAATACGTATTATATTACCGAGGCTCCAAGACCGTTTCCACCGAACGTTATACAAATTGGCGGCATTCATTTACAACCACCTGAATATGATATTATACCCGCAGTGAGTTATACACGTTCCATATTAAGCTTCAATATAATATCTCAGTGACGTAATTTCACTATGTCAGATTTTTTTAATGGATGTGACATTTTAACTGGCTCTTATAAAAAAGCTCCAAGTTTATTTTACACTTGTACATTTGTGCACTCTGAGGTAATAGGATGTTATAAATTATAATTTATAATCTCTTGTTAGTTAAAAATGTATTATATTAATAGGCACATCATTTTGATTCTTTTAATTATTCATTACGTCCTAACCTATTACACCTATATTATAATTTTTGATTTAGAAAAATACTAAATGTACAATTTACTCACCTACGCCTAAATTATTGGTATAAATAAATAATAAT